CATGTTGACTAAATAGTTATTACACTGAAATCATAAATTTGAAATGTTTTTGTGCCAAAAGTTCAACAGAAACTGTTTTATCATCATTTTTTGCAAAAAAAATTATGATTAATTTAAAAGAATAAAAATTTCCAAAATTTACTATTTCAGTGAAATAACTATCTACTCAACGTGTTTATTATTCGTCAATAATGACATGTATTGTCTATTTCCATTCTAAATATCTTAAGAACGGTTGCTCGTAGCGATTTTTACAAAGAGATATTTTCTACGTAAAAAGTCACAGAGATGTAAATTTTTTCACTCGGTAGTTTTATACAGGTACGGACAAAAAGTTATTACGCTTCAAAACAGTTAAAACACATGTAGGTGGCGCCCTCTACTAGTAGGAGTCATATTGACACCAAAATCAAGTTTCTCATGTCAAAAAACTCCTAGGCACCAATTTTCATCCAAATATTGACGTCACTTTAGAAATTATTTAGAAAAAACCGAAATAAAAATGAAACTTCTACACCCTGTATCTCCGAAAGTAAACATTTTAGGACATATATTTATACGAACTTTTTTAATTATTTTTATCTGCAGAATATGCTGCCGAAGTTTCCGGAATACAGGTCGGACCACCCTGTATACAACCCCTAAAAATATGTGCACTTATTTAAAACTCACCCTGTATAAGCACTAATGAATAAATATAGATTTATAATTTTATGATATACTTAAAAAGTAAATTCTTGGAAGAGTTTATTTTTTTTAATATCTACTATATTTATAATACAAAACAATAACCGACTGTTCTTACACTGTATTTTTAAAAAAAACTATAATGCGATAATTATATTGCAGTTGGCAACATCGCCAGCATTTTTTTATAATAAAAAATGTTCCTTACCTATTCTGTTTCTGTTTACATTAAAAAAAATAAAATATTTAAAAAAAATTATTATAAATTTAAAATGTATAATAAGAATTTAGTTGAGTTTTAATTAAATATTTTAAATAACGGCAACAGCCACACTTGTTTTTTACGCCCCTGTATCCCGACAAGAACAGATAATACCTGAACGCGTCCGCTAGACTTGGCTAGACTAGCGAAACCGATATACGACCTCGATTATCAACTCAAACCAGTTCTTTTTTACTTAACTGTTTCAAACAGTTCCCTAACTGTTCAAACCCTAAAGCTGTTCCAAGTCGCAAACTGTTCCAAGTCTGAAACAGTTCCATGTCCCTAACTGTTCCAAGCGCTAAACTGTTCCAAGCCTAAACCGTTCCAGGTCGCAAACTGTTCCAAGTCTCAAACTGTTCCAAGTCCCACTGTTCAGGTTGGGACCTGAAACAGTTGGGTCTTGGGAACTGTTTGAATCTTGGAACAGTTTGGGTCTTAAGGAACAGTTAAAGTAAAGAGAACTAGTTTCAGTTGAGAAACAGTGAGTATATCGCTTTAACGACTGCGGTCGCTTGGCGTTATATTATCGAGATTGAGTGCGAGTGCACTAATATATTGCATAGACGTAAAAAAACAAACGGGGGTGACGGTTTTCACAGCGTTGCCGATATTTGATATATTTAATTAAAATTCAACTAAATTTTTTACTATAAATTTTAAATAGGAAATCAATATTTAAAAATACAGAAAGAAAAGAATATCTAACATTTACTATTTTTATATATGTAAAATAGTAAAAATACATATAAAATAAAACAACTTACATTCCTAGATAATAAAAAACAAGCGGTTCCTTTGTCGGTATGTATACATTTCTTACGCAGAGAGTTTTTTAATGTAAACAGAATAGGCGAAGATAATTTCTTACCATCAAAAAAACGTACTGGCGATGTTGCCAAATGCAATATAATATATAATTATCTAATTTTGAAAAATACACTATTAAGAATCTAGAATCACAAATATAGTAGATAACATAATTTAAACAATTCCAAGAATTTATTTCTTTAAGTATTTAAGTTGCAATGTTTTGAAACAGCTGGAACAGTTGGAACTGGAACTGGTATAGGATAGCACATAAACCTGTTCCAAGCCAGTTCCAAAACAAACCTGTTTCGAAAATAACAGATCCTGTTCCAAAGCGTCATCACTAACGCTATCTCAACACCCATGACACTGAAGGTGTCAGCAACAAAGATGCCATACAACACAGTTTTACACATGGCTACGCCACATAGGTACAGACATTTTTTTATACCGGGTAACTTCCAATTTAGGTAGCTTTTATTGAAATTTTAAAAATTGTTCTTTATTTCCAGAAAATGTTAAATATGTCAAAAACCTTACATTTTTGTCATATATTTCTTTCATAAAACTCTTTAAAAAACTTTTGTTACTAACCTAATAAAACTTTTTTTTCGCCTTTCGCCTAGAAACGGAAAAAATCAATTAATATATAGGGTGTTCCATTAGAAAAAACACAACTTTGATATCTAACTTTTTTTGGGGCACCCTCTATATTTTTAAAAAGTGTTCTGAATTAACCTACATATGATCACAAAATTTCATATTTCAATACAAACTGTCTTTCTCCTTGGAGCCTCCACATCTTATGAGAGGCGCCATCCTGTAGTTGAACAAGTTTTATACCGCATGAAATTCTACTTGAAAAAGTGAAGGAGGTGGATGTGGAAGCTTCTCTCCAAAGTGTAAAAAACAAAATAGACTCTTTTCGTATCAATTTCCGGAAGGAATTAAACAAGATGAGAGATTCTGGTATCTTCTAAATAACCGATCTTTAGCCCACTTTTTTCTATTTTTCTTCTTTTTTACTTTTAGTGTCGCTATCGGTGCCGCCACTGTAAATAAATCGACGCGTTTCATTTTGTTACCATTTTACACTGCCGTAATGTGTGTGCAAATACAGTTTTAATTGTCTAGTCCAGCAGTGTTAATCGACGATTAACACTGCTAAAAAACAACGAAGTCTGTGGCCGCCTTAATAGCACGTTTTATAAAATATACCGGATGTTTATTTAAAAGCTTCCCATCACTGCGGATTTATTTATTTAAACTAAAAACGCCGATGCGAGTCAAAAGATTTGTTAAGAGACAACTTTTTAACCAAAAAATTTCTTCGCCCCCCTTATTTTCTGTTGTTTATTTGCTGTTTCTTATAATTAGATAGAGATAATTATTATTAGATCATTACTATATAATAACATAATAAAAAATAACAATACAATAATTGTATTGTTATTTTTTTAATTTGGAGAAGTTTTATATTTTTTTCATTTAAAAACTTTGAAACAATATATTTTTGATTATATAGTAATGATTTATAGGAGACAGAAAGAGAGGATAGCACCTAGTTTTGATATAATTAATTTTCAAAAATTATACTTACCTATTTAGCTAGTAAAAAATATTGGCTAAAAATCAAAATCTGTTCAAGTTATCAATTATTGTTTTTAAATTTTTTAATGTGTTTATTTTTTTTGCATAAAGAATCAGTTTTTAATTTAATCCATATTTAGCTACCAAAAAATCTGTTAATATTTAAGAAAAAACTGTATAAAATGATAAAAATCCTAAAAAACACAATTACATAAAACAATCTGATTTTTCCAATCCGAAAAATAGCTGCTTTTTTAAAAGGTATTTTCATTTTCCCCCTTAGTGTCTCTGTCTATTTTTTTTTATAAGAATAAAATATATTACTTTTTAAGACTTTTTGAACCAACTTTACGAACCATCATTATTTAACCTACTTTAATACATTCTTTTTTTTTCAATAACTTTTAACAAATTATTATTATTATTTTGATTATTTGATTATTGATTTGAATAGCTCATAAATGAAGGTTAATCCGATACCTTCAATAGTAAAATGGAAAAGTCTAATAGTGTTAAAAAGTAACAAATTTTATTTTTAGTAATCTAAAAAAATTATATTTCGTCATTTTATTTTGGAAAATGACATAGAATTAAAACTTTAAGAATAAAAAGAGAATAAATAAACATTTTAAATAAGTTATTACTGGATAGTCTGTCATTTAGGATTTTTAAGGGAATGGCCTTGTATGGCTAAGGGTGAAAGCAGGGCAAAGTAATTTTTGGGTTCATTTTTCAGTTTTTTCAGTTTTAACGTGTATCTGTGTTTTTTTGTTTGAATTAGTGGTTTTAGATAACACGTTGTAGTTTTCACTCTTTCACCCCGTCGAAAAATAAAATATCAGCTTAAAAATTTTTCGTTGTCGATTCAGTGTGGTAAAAAGTACGACATGGTCCAACATGTAAAGACAAAAATACACTCAGAACAATTAAAAAAATATAAGGTTAATAAGCTCAAACAACAAACAATTGGTTGCAGGTTGATTAGATTATTATAGTAAACGCCACGAATGTTTGGGAGTGATTCATCGGTCGCTACCATGTGAACTAATCTGTTCCAGGTCGCATAAAACTTAATTTCAGTGCCATTGTGTTTCAAGTCATATAATAATCAATATATAATCTGTTGTAATTCGTTGTTTTAACTGTCAAAGTCTTGTCAAAACATATATTTGGTTATAAATATAAAATGAAATGCCCCATTAGTCGCATTGCAAGCACACCAATGGACTGACGCACAAAAACGAATCAATCAAAGAAACGCGATATAGTATCATCTTTGTCAATCACGCTAACATTTTAGAATAAGTAGGAGGAGGGCAGGCAGATGATTAGACCGGGGCTTTAAAAACCTACGTCTGCGGTAAAAATTTACGTTTTTAATGTAAAAATGATAGCGCGCGTGTCGATTCCAACTTCATCAAGCGATGAATCACTCCCAAACATTCGTGGCTTTTACTATAGTAACAAAGTTTTTGTATGATTTGATAGTTTGATAAGTACATAAATTATTTTTTGTTTTATTTTAACTCCAACTTATGTTTGCTTTTTTGCCGAAAATAATGCTTTTTTTGAAAAAATATGTAACGTTTTTAAGCACTTTTTTTTGAAAATTTTGTGCTTATAAATCCGGTCTCTATTTATGAGTACCTACCTCTCCCATTATTCCAAATAGATATTTTATTTTGTTCAGAATCAATATCAATTTTAATACAATTCATGTTCTTATCCTTTTGTTTATTATCGGCAGCATTTACCAAAATTTCATCAAAAATCTTGACCAAACCTGGGACATACTCAGTTTCTTTTTGGACCATCATCTTCTGTTCAGTGTCATAGATCCACATAGGTCTTTTGGTTTTCTGAACGGAACCTATATATGTATCAGGACGTAGCAATATGTGCTCCAATTGGGATTTTTTTTGATAAGTTTGCTCGATTGTTGTTTTTTTGGGTGGTTTTGGTGGTGAGGCAGCATCTCCACTACCTGCACTACCATTAGCCATATTTGAAAACATAGCCTAGAAAATGTATTTATTAGTTGAATGTGACTAAGACATAATATATAGGTATTCTATAAGCATGAACTGAGAGATACATAGTCTTTAGTTTGGTGAAATAAATTATAAAAAATAAATTATATTATTGGAGATTGTAATAATACAATAATGTAAATAACAACTTGATATTGAAAATGCTTCAATTTCTAGATTTAGAGTCACTAGCATATATAGTATCAGTTATTTATATATAATAGGTATAAAATATGTTAGGAAAAAAGATAAAATACCTGTAGGATATGTCTATAGTTCATGGTTTTTACTGGATAAGTTGCAAACATAGAGGGAAATATAAAAATTGCAAATATCATGTTAAGGTATAAAAACTGAACAAAATATCAACAGGATATTGCTAAGATCATATCACAGCATCACATAACTCGATATTAACATGAAAGAAATCCAGAAAACATACCTTTATGTCCGCCATTTTTTGTGCTATAATTTCTTATCCAATTTTACTGTACCACATTAAATCTGTTTAAAATACATTTCAGTTGTTACAGGCGCTCAATACAACTACTGCTTCATACAAAGAATGACGCTAAAATTGTATTTTTGTTGTTTGTTTTAATTTCTCACAACACTAGCTTCCCGCTTCGCCAATTCTTTAACCGGCGTCAGCGGCATCTGTCACTTCATACAAGGACAACAAGGTTGCCAAATCTGCAGGTTGATAAGTTGAATTCATGCTAGTTTTAGTCGAAAAACCTCGAGGAAAAAATCACTGGAAAGTAAAAGTCAAAAACCACTTCTACTACCAAGTAGAAGTGGTTTTTGACTTGTTTTTGAAATATATTTAAAATAAAAATACAAAATACATAATGGGCGAACTATTTAAAATACAAAATAGAAAATAATTTTTAAATTTGTATTTAAATTGCAAAACAGAAAATACGTATTTTAAATAAGCGACTTATACAAAATAAAAATGATTTCTTTCATTTTAGTGACATATTGGTACTCTGGTACATGTCTGGTACCTATCCTACCTATTTATTAAACACCTGTCTATTTTATTTTGATATGTTAATTTTTGAATTTGTTTGAAAATATTATTTGTTTAAATTATTAATGAAATTTAAAGACCTTTTCTGATTCTCCCTTACAGTTGAGGGTTGGAACCTTTGGTGTTACACAGCAAAATAAAAACACTAAATCACCACAATACATCAAAACACTTTTACTTTTACACTGGACGCGCGTTTCGCTAACCATGTTAGCATCATCATCAGCAGATGATTATAAACTCAGTTTATACCCACAATACACACAGTTTTTTACCACAATACACCAAAACACTTTTACTTTTATACTGGACGCGCGTTCAGCAGATGATTAATATAAACTCAGTTTATAATCATCTGCTGATGATGCTAACATGGTTAGCGAAACGCGCGTCCAGTGTAAAAGTAAAAGTGTTTTGGTGTATTGTGGTGATTTAGTGTTTTTATTTTGCTGATTCTCCCTGTTGTATAATTTTAAGGAAAATGCGATTCCAGATAATAGCTTCTCACTAGTCTTTTCTATTATTAACCCTTTATCAGTTTCAATAACCTATTTGATTGAAATTATTTCATGGATCAATTAATTATTATAACTGGAATTATTCTTACGTAATTTTGAAGAAATCATTTTTTAGAATTTAAATGATTTGTCTTGATGATATGCCAATTTTACCTATTTGTTCTTGAATAATTAACACAGCTAAATGATATTTTCAACCACTAAATTGAAAAGAAATCCCTTTGTCCGTTACTTTTGAATTTTATTCAAAGGTCCGTTAGATCAGATCTATCTACCGGAAAACCCGCGAAGTTGGCAACGCTGTACTCAAAATCTCGGGATCATTTAAATATTTACCGTTTCCTATGTTGCCAACTGTTTAGCGCATTATCCATAGACAAACTAACAAAAGCAAGACTTTTCAAAGGATTGAGCAGGGATTGAGGAAGTCCAATTGCCTTGAACCATCCTTGAACGAACTGTTGAATTCCTGATTTTGCGTTTTGTTTGGTTATTACTATTATTTTATTAGCGTACAAAACGAAAACAAATAATTTAATACATTTTACATTTATGAAGAACATAATAATTATATACTGTGATTATACATATTATTGTGATTACATCGCTAACGTAGACAAAACGAAGGTCCTACAAATTGACTGTAAGTTATAAGAATCTTTATCTTTTTAATCTTTTTATGATTTGAATTTTCGTGCTTTATATTTTATAATAGACTCGAAATGTTAATATTTTTGCAAATTCTTGTGAAAATGTGAAGTTTATGTTTTTGTTTTATATTTGAAAAAGTTGTATATTTTAAGATGTTTCTTGTTGTTCCTATTATTGTTTTAAATATACATAATTATTTTTTGTACGACGTTTTGAAGAATAATGCTTTTATTTCGTTTACCATAACTGTTGTTTTTTATCATCTTTTTGTTATTTTAATAAAGGAATACGTTTTCGTTTATTTAACTTTTGTTTTTATATCTGTTATGTCCAGAAATTATTGTTTATTTTACCGATGGAAATAAATTTATTTGATTTTAATAAACGCTTTTTAATTAAACATCCTTGTCTAAAAGGCTACTACAAAATACACAATCCATAAGTAAAGCCGGAGTCTCATGCATCCGAAATCCGATGACACGACGATCCGACGGTGCTCCTATTGGTCGAAATATTTTGACAACAATTTTTATCCGATAATTTTAACTAATCATCCGACGTCGTATAAAGTTAAATTTTGTTTAACTTTTGTACGATATCGTGTGTTTTTTAACCTCACTTTTTTTGAAAACATTTGTTTTTAAAAACAAGTTTAGTGGGAAGTGGGCAATTTCGGGATATTTGGCGAGGAAGTTATTTTTATAAGTGTTTCTCTAATAAAACATGACATGAATCTCTATTCAGCGCAGCAGAAAAATGTCAAAACTGTCAAATTTCGGAACGAACTTTCGGATGTATGTGACAGGCTTTTTTTATTTCACACGATAACTTCAAATTTCGGATGTCGTACCATCGGATTTCGGATGCATGAGACTCCGGCTTAAACCGTCCTCGTCTAAAAGGCCAGTTGACGCAAGCGCGGTAATAAACTCTTATCAAACTTGTTACCGTTTTGCAGTACAGCGTTGACGCGTCTTGCTTTTGTTAGTTTGTCTATGGCTTTATCCTTGCATTATCCCAATGACGATGAAGAATTCAAGGACTAATAACACCCGAGACCAAATTGTTACCATACCTCCAAACAGTGCTGTGGCACATATTTTTCTCAACTTAAAGATACATCAAAATTTTAAGGTTTCTCGTGCCGGTGAGTGTAAATAACAAAAATAAACATTTTAAAAATAACAAAATATTACTACTCTTCAGTATCTACATACCAGTGACTAAAGAATACAAGGACAAATTACACCCGAGACCAAATTGTTATCATACCACCAAACAGTGCCGTGGCACATATTTTTCTTAACTTGCTGCTTGAAGATGAGATATTTATATTATATATTTATAGTACTACCAGTACGTATAGTACATATATGAAGTAGGTACATATAATATCAGAAAAATAATTATCGATTTCAATATAAAAAAAAGCCTAAAAAAGTGCAGTGGGCTTTTTATTTACCTATGAAACGTTAACGTAACTCCTGGCTCTTTCTTATCGCTGCGGCTTTTACACTTGAAAGCTGAACAACTAATCACCATTGTAATAAAGTGTATACAAAGTTCACTACACACAAGCTATTAAAAATTGCTAAAATTGTCGTTTATGACCAGCTGATGACTCATTCATTATAACCAAAAAAATGGCGTCTAACATCACAAATTCTGCTGCAGCCCGTATATGGACGTTACATGTCCTTGTATTCTTTAGTCATTGCTACATACGAACTAGCCTACGTAGTTATTACATGTACAGGGTGTCCCATTTTGGTTGATATTATACGGTATCTCCGTTATTAGTGAAGATAGAAGGGTGCGTTTTGCACAAAACTGTCCCACTTTTTTGTCAAATGGAAGATGCAGTAAACAACATTTTCATAGCCCTCTTCGTTTCTGAGCTACAGGGTCTTTTTGAAAATCTTCTAATTTGGGACACTCTCTGTATCTCTGTTATTGTTAAAGGTATCGAGAATATGCAGAATTTATGATTTAACATTTAACCATCATTTAACCAATGCTTATTCAAGATCATGTTTTTGTCAATTTTACACGTTTTATTTTTTATCTCGAAAACTATTAGAGATTGTGGTATAGGTTAGTATAGATAGTATATATATAATTAGTATAATAGAAAGATTTTGAGATATGAAAGTAGGGTATTTGAAAAATATAATAATATACCGGGCGTTCCATTTAAAATCACAAAGTTGCTACCACTTTTAGTATGAAGTGGCAACACTGTAATGCTGAAAATAGATAATTTGTACCACGTTTGTACCTTGGACAAGGAAAGAGAGGGGACAGGTAACACGGCAGCTGAAAGTGAGGCCACTTGTCACCACTCGAAATTCTCCAATGGCGTAGCATCAGAAATTAGCTTGTACCTAGACGATACAAAATATTTATTAAAACGTAAACTAATATATCGTTCATTTTTGAGTAATGTATATACAATTTTGTATTTTATAGTCTCACCTTTATAATATTAGAATATCTAAGTCGATAATGCAACATTTATTTAACAGTCACAGTGGACTGATTATCAAGACAATTATTTATTTATTAACGTGTGTATAATGTATAATTAATTAAAAAATAATGTAAATACATATGTTTTATACGTCTATATACATATATACCGTATGATCGAAAAAAAAACGGCGTCTTAATTGTTTGGAAATTAAAAATTACATTATTCATTGAATCCGTAAGCAAGTGTGAAGGGGATTGGCTAGATTCATTATTATACCGTATGATCGAAAAAAAGGCGTCCAGTTGGCTTGTAAATTATGATCGATGACATTCCCTATATAATTCTACATATAAAATTACATAAAAACTATACAAAACGACATCGAAAAGACGGCGTCAGCGATGACTGTCAAATGAAGATCGCTGACAATTTTATATGTAAAATTATATGAGGAATGTCGTCGATCGTCATTTACAAGCCAACTGGACGTCGTTTTTTTTTCGAACATACGGTATAATAATGAATCTATCCAATCCCCTTCACACTTGCGTACGGATTCAATGAATAATGTAATTTTTAATATTTGTTACCTTCAATCATAAGAATATTCTAATTTTCCACAAAAAAATAAACGATTCTAGAAGCTTTGTGTTATTTTATTTATTTTTAAATTTGTATTAATTACTCACTGAAACTATTATTATACACCTAAATTAGCAAATTTTTTGAAAGAATATTTAAAAAAATATATGTAATAACAAGTAGCCCACCACAAGTTTGTCCATCCCCAGCAAGTCTTGGCAGGTAAATTTAAGTTTTATATAACAACTATACATATAGATTTTTTATCACTAGAATTTTTTTTATAGTTTACAATTATTTTACATATTTGATAACAATACTTTATACATTTTTTTACATTTAAATATATAAAAAAATGTTTATTGCAGAAATTGTATTTGTCTTATTATAATTCCCTACGTCACTGGAGAAATCCATGCTGAGTAGCATTATTTATAGTTTCAAAC